TTCCTGAAGCATCACCAAACCCACTGAACCCCTCTCTCCCATTACTCCCAGCCTCCCCCAGGATACCAGTGACTGCTCATAGACTCCCCACAGCTGGAGCAGAAAATTTCAGCTTTAGCAGCACTGTACATTTGAGGGCCTATAACCAAAGCACACCTGGGGCTGCTCTTGGACCCTTCAGTCATCAGATGACCTCCATGTATCCTAATGCATATACTTCTACTACATTTTAAGAATTGCCATCTGAGTGCTGGCTACAAAATCAAACTACTACTGAGAGCTCCTGTAATTGATGACAGCATTATGAATCACTCTGCCCCAGCTATCCTGTGCTAATTGCTTTAATCACTTTCTGCAGTCTCATCTTCACCATTAGTTCTGGAACTCAGAATCAGTTTGCCTGAGCCATGGTGGGATTTTTGATTTGGCTGCATTTATTATTAACATTAATAGTAACATTATTGGTAATATTAAGACAGGCATTAACCCAAGTACAAAAAAATGTCTACATACCAGCAGGGAAAAGAGGGTTTGCAAGGTCCGTTAGGGCCTGGGCACACCATCAAAGGCAAAGATTGGAGACTGGTCATTTCAGGTGGCAAGAGACTGCCTGTGAAATTGGACTCCCAAATCATCAGAGCCAGGGAGAACTGGACAGTGCTTCCTGCTCCAGGAACACTGTGACATTCGGATGGTCTTCATGATGCAGCTGACCGCTCCTCTCTGATGGCAGCCCTGAGGCAATTTTTCTTCAGGGACTCCAGGACTACTGAATCTTGCCTACTGTCATCTGCAAACTTGGGTTATACAAACACTTCACCATAACGGACTCCCAAGGCTTTCTGACCATGTGACTACAGGATCCATTTGTTCCCAGTTCCGTGGGCTAGATAGTTAAATTAGGCACTAATTCTCCATGTCAAGTGACCTGTGGGACTCTCAGTTGCCTGGGGAGCAGACGGTTGGTAATGGTCCTCCAGCCATCATGAACAGCTGATCTGCTGGAATGCAGATCCCAGATGAGGCAGTCTCCATTCACAGTGTTTTTCTTGGAATAATCAATGGGAAGTGTTGCTTAACATAAAGCAGTCAGATCTAATTGACATATGCTGGAGGCTGATAAAGAAACACAACTCTATGGAGGACATCTCCTGCCCATTTTGCAATTAATTCTGAGGCCCTGAATTAACAGATGTACAGACTCAAAGGCCAAAAGTCTCATTTTCCACTAAATTCCCTGCTAGTTCCTACAAAGGATGGGGAAGGTACTAAAAATAATAATTACAGTATAATTCAGAACAGCAGTCATCAGAATATCTTTTTTTTTTTTAACTCCCGCTTGGTGGGTTTTTTTATAGTGCTGTGGCTTGGCATTATTAGCAACAGAACTTCGTTATGATCTTATGCACACAGAGTGGCTTTTTTTAGAAGGTGCAAGCTTCAGCCTGAGGCATCACTAGGTGGAGACATTGCACAGTGCAATGCCGGTGCAGCTCACTGCTGCGGGGTTTCGGGATCCCCACAGCCCCTTCCTATAGCAGATGTTATTATTCCCTCATCAACTCTCACCCTGGGACCCTGATCTTTTCCCATCCTCAGTTGTCTGCTCTCTTGGATGTGATCCTCTCCTAAATAATAAGCCAGTTCATCTCCTAATTTAGTTATCCAACTAACTTCAAGGCCCAACCCTCCCTAAGTGTCAAACATGCCAAAGTTGGTGTTTTTCAAGAAGTGACAGCAGACGGTGCTGGCACATCCTTGCCTCATTTAAATACATACGTGTACCAAGCCATTCAGATCTATGCTGAAGAGCCATATTTTTGTGAGAAACTTGGCTTTTCTTGAAGAAGTCAGCATGTGGTCTATTCTCTTCAGTCTCTGAGGAGAACCAAGTCCCGTTTACTCTAAAAATACAGGAACTGGAGCCAGATATCAAGCAGAACCAGATGTCACGACCCAGAAGAGAGCATACACAGATGGCAGGGGGACATATGGCACACAAGATCTTTCCCACTGTGAGTGTCCCTGTCAAGACAGCTCTTTAGATTTTTCACTATTTGTTCCTGTAGGCAATATGTAGGGGAGTTAACTGCCAATTTTTTTTCTGTTTTAAAGGGACAGATGAATCTTATTTTTTTAACTCCCAAAGACCCTGCTTATTTGCCATTTCAGAAGTGGGAGAATTTATAACCTCCTTTAAATGTCTGTAACTCCTTTACTCCTACAAAGATGCATTTGTCCTGCCCCTTCTCCAATGATCCATTTGAAATTATATGGTCATGGCACACCTTACCCAGAAAGTACAGACCTTGTTGATACAGTCTAAGTGTGCCTTCTCAGGAGTGAGAGATAGGATAAGTGTAGATCACTCGAATTTCTTTCCCAATTCAACTGCTTGTCCAAGTCACTCACTTCCATGGCACACCAGAAACAGTTAGTTATGCATATTTGAAAAACAGAAAACAAAAAATACAATATTAGAAACAATGTACTCCTTTTTAAGGACTTGAATGTGGCCCTTCCCATCTTTCAGGGAATTTGTATATATTCACAGTATATAAACTGAGCAAGAAAGTGCAAAAGATCAAAATAAGCATTAGAGATTGGAGGAGAGATGAAACAGCACTGGGGCACGTTACCATGGCCAGCGCAGGAAAAGGAAGCACTCCCCTGATACATACTGCTGGTGAGATAACAGAGAGAACACGGATTTTAACAATTGCCAACAGAAATAAAACCCATCAAGGGAAACTGCTTAGTGAAAAATAAAAAAATCTAATGAACTAATGGGACAGTTTCAAATTTTCCCTTCTACTACAGCCACTGCCGTGCTCAAAAAAAAAAAGCGAGATCAAATGAGTGGCTGGGGGAAAAAAAAAGAACCAGAAACAGAGTTTACACATCTAAATTACCTGATCTGGAGCAGCAACTCAAAACCAGCCCTTCTATGGCAGAAAATTCACCTTAATGACTTGGTGAGCTTCCTACATTTCTTCAGGGTGAAATAACAACTCCTGACAGCCACCGTCATTGACAAGCAGAGCTTTAGCTCCAGCTGTAAAGCCACAGTAACCCAGGTGCTCTCTCAAAGGAAGTCACACAAAAACTGTACTTTTTAATTGTGCCTCCTGATGCCTACAAGACATCAGACTCCTTTTTCCAATCAATTTCAACATGGCAAGCAATCTTGGAATGGGCTGAGGACACGAGTGGTTTGTACTACTTTCTAGTTCACTTTTAGTGACTAATGTTCAGTTTGTATCAATAAATACATCAAGTTCTGGTTAAAATTATCCCATCTTAAAAGTGAACAAGCATACAAGTAAAGTGGTGTACCTTGCCTTTACTCTTGGGAATAATGAGTGTAGGGATGAGAGGATGAAACGCTCCTGTGTTTGTGTGTTGTAGCATCTCGGACTAAACCAGAGACTGGCAATACTCTGGATTAAAGCTGCTAGCTATTGATTTTATTTACACGTATTCTGAAGCTCTACATTGCAATACATCCTCAAGTATTTCTAGGAAAAAAAAATGTCTCTCCTTAGCTCAGGTCTTATAAACATTAACTGTATTCTGCCTGCTTCATCTTCAAGCTAACTGCAGCTATGGAAGGAGGCAGAATAGTTAAACAACTACCATAGGCCCTGAACAAAAGGCAGAATGGGCTTCCCCCTCTAGCAGAAGTTCAAGGAACCAAGAAAAAGGGGAAATGTAAAATCACCTTTGTGCTCTTTTACCTTCTAGGATGCAATACAGAAGTAAATTAAAAGGAAAAGAAGAGAAAGTCAATCAAGGCTGTCCTGTATGGGGCCATCACACAGACTCCACCAGGTTGTAACAACTTGTTCTGGGTTTGGGCTCAGAGCACGTACCCCTCTCCATCACATAAACCTCTATTCATTAATTAATACAGTCATAGATGTGTATATTAAAATGTAAAACAGGTTGTATCTCAACACTAGCTGCCATAAAGGTAAGAAACCGGGATACGGGAGGAAAATTATGAAAGGAGGAGCCTCCCAGAAAAAACTAGCCTAACAGTATGGATAGAAAAATGCAATGGAATTAGAAAATTTGAGACAAGTTAATCCCAAAGCAAGAAAGGGAAGGGGCAATCTGGAATGCCAAATAAATTGAGAGGAACAAGCCAACAGAAGAAATATAATATAGTTATGGTTGAAAAGTAAAAAATGGTGCAGAGAAGGCTTTCAACATATCTTACACCATGAACCATTCCGACTGTTTTCTCTGTCAGCATAGATAGACAATAAACTGAAATGTATCTACTGCAGTGTGGTGAACCAATACTTTTTTCACAGATTACATTGCATTTGTCCTTTCCTTCTGAAACTACCAAGTTTCCAGAAGCAGACCTCTGGCCAACGAATTGTTTGTGGAGGTTTTTTTAATAAGGAGCAATCAGCACATCTGTCTCTATGAGATTTCTTTTATTGTACCACAAAACCCGGTGTGTTTTCCTATGTGACTTGCAAAAAAAACTTTCCAAGGGGAGAAAACAGAGACAAGATTCAGTTTCAAAATAAAGTCCCATGATAAAAGGATAAGCCACTTCATGATGCATTCAAGTAGTTAGCTAACAATTAACCACAATAACTGAAACCTTTCTCCCACACCCATTTTCACACAAGAATACTAAAATAACTACATAATCATACTGAATGTGTTTAAAATAAATTATCAGGTAGACAAATGCTAACTCACAATCATCTGTCTTGACTTAAGGGTCTTTAGGAGTTTCATTTAGTGGGAAAATGCTTATTTTGTGTATTACAGCAAAACTCTGAAATGAACTATGAAAAAATTGGCCAGAAATCATAATAGCACATTCACAGAAGAAAGAAAAATACCAGCACAACTCCATGCAAATCAATGTACTTATCTGTAATACTGCAAATCCTACAATTATGGGTATATTTTTATTTCAAAGCATATGAAATTAGGAAGTTGAAAAAAAACCCTACCAGTTTCAACTTCTTTATTATTTCTCATTCTACATGGAAAATAAGAGGGTTCTGTTTTTAAACACAAGTGAAAAAAATCTTTGAAGGAAAGTGTAATTTTTCAACACCCTTCTGAGCAAGTCTAAGTCTAAACACAATGTAAAATTTTGACAATAATGATTATCTAAACTCTCTAGGTTCCTAAATTTATTTTTAAAGCCTAAACATTATGCATTTCCAAAGAAGACTGAGACAACATCTACTAGAACAATAGTATCTCATCTGATGGATCTACCCTGTCCTTGGTTTTCATGGCAACATCTCAGAAGTCTCTAGTTAATGGAGGCTGTGGAAAACTACACAGCTGTGAACACAGCCAGGAGGATGAGACACTGCTCACAAGGAGTATTTGCTAGACCTACTCCAAGAAAAGGTACCATGAAATGCTATTGCAAATCTTTCACTTTAAACGTATGTTCACCTCCTGGACCTTGTTTTCTCTCCCATCAATACAGCCCAACAAAGAGTACATTCTACAGCATACACACTTCTGAGAACCGGCTGAAAGGAATTCAGTGACAGATGCTATCCTGGCAATAAAGATAATGTAAGAACCCATTTAACTTCAGGAACAAAAAAACCCAAGCAGAATTCACATTTGCATTCAGATGATGCTCTTCAAGGCTGGAGCATGAAAACTCTTGCCACTTCAGACCACCTTGAAAAGGAAGAAGCACGTGGTTTTCTCATGGTGATGCACACAGAACAATGGATTGGGGTCCAGAAATACCAAACTCCTCCCAAGCAGACTGATACAGCCACAGGCCTCTAGTTTTTAATTTCACAAGTCGACAAGATATTATTTCTTGTCATTAGCACCTAGTCGTGTTTCAGAACTGGCCGTTTTCCACTCTCTCCAGGATACACAGCCCAAGCACAGTCCTTTGATAAGACTGTCAGTGAACTTCTGTGCTTGCAGTTAGCACAGTTGAGACATGGAATGAGAACATCTGATTTCCAGAGTAGCAGCACAGTCTAAAAAGCTTCCTTTTTGCAAGAAATCTGAAATATTTTCAGTTTCCTGACCATTTTGGGAGACTAAGTTTAGAAACACCACAGAGACCAGGTATCACAGAATTACTCAACAAATATCTAAAAAGCCATGGATTCCATTCCATTTGCTGAACACATTTGGTACCAACTGTTCAGCTGAAACACATTTAGTGTTGTGAGGAGTTTTAAATATACCTGCTATGTCATGTATTTCCCCAACCCCTTCAAGAAGCAAGGATAAGGCCTGTTGCCTAGGAGGGGACCCCAAAGCTTGCAGAGTGCTGACTCTTGCAGTAATGAGGAAAGTCAGTCACAAAAAGGTGACAAAGAGATACATACGGACTAAGAAAATGCTGATGACAGAAACAGATTTGTAACTTATCAATTGCAGTTTCAATTTTTAAAAATGGACTTCACAGCTGCTTCTTCAGTAGATATTGCATTTATATGGACTATTTAATAGCCTACCACCATCAGTAATGTTTACGTCTCACATCTGCGTGAGACTAACACAACAAATTTTGTCACTATCCAAAACCCAGAACACAAATAAAGTTGCACAGAATTTTTCTTTTAAGGTGTAATTTGGGGAAGGGATCAGTAGTTTTTGCTCCTTGAAGAAAACATTTACTTTGTAATATAAAGAATTCGTGTTACAAATTCTGCATTTCAGAATTACCTTCTCAGTATTATTTTAATAAGTGCACCTTAACTTCCTTTTGCTGCAGATTTGTTCAAAGTTAGGGGTAACAAATACACTTCAGAATAAGACACCTTCTTCCTAGATGGCATGTGATAGCGGACATTTTTCCAGAATCTTGTATTTGCTGAACAAGATTTCTCTGAGAAGTCCCCTTTCCATTGGATAGCTCCATGTTTTTCCTTAATGTATCTGACTGATTCTGGCATGCCTGTGTAGTCCTGTATTTCATCCATTTCTATAAGAATCACTTGAATCCCATCACGGATGAGAGCATTATACATAGCTAGTTGTTGTTCAGTAGTGTCTTCTAACAGGCAGCAACTTGATGTTTCTGATCCCAGAACAATCATCAGCCTTCTGCTTTGCTTAAGGGTTTCATCAGCAACACTGATCACAGCTGTCAGTAATGAAGGAACAATCAACATTTGCATAGAAACTTTACAACTGATGTAAAATATTTCTTAATTTTAAAATTACACATATATGAAGCAGTGGCTAGCTCAGAGGAGGACTGATAGGTTTAAGATCTCCACACTGTCATTCGTGATTCATGATCCATTCCATGAAATTACTGATAAACACTGTTTTCTTCAGTCCCCAGGAGCAGATACAATTCAAAAAATCCTCAACAATATTATTAACATTGATGAATCCTCATTTGTTCATCACTAAAAAGAAAGTGCAGACCCTCATAACATCAGAATAGAATTTTTGTTAAGAAACCAAACCAAAAATTTTAAAAAAAAGTCCATTGGACAAATAGACAAATTATCCATTAGAAATAAACAAATACAGCTTTTTTTTCACAAAAATAGACATTTTTAAAAATTGTATATATAACCTTCTAACCTGAGAACAATGTGTCAAAAGACAACCTATTAACTCTACTAATTAAAGCATACCTTCTCCTGGTAAGTCATCCCTTCCTAATATAAAGAGATTATATCCACACTGTTGTTCTAAAACATCAGGGAGTATTCTACGAACAAAGGTTTCCAGACGACAGAAACTTCTGTCTCCACTGCTTTTTGCACACAGGACATATGCATCATAGATTTTCCCATCTGAAACAAACACAAACATTTCTATTAAAAAATTAAAAATCAGCAACATGCCCTTATGTCAAGGTTTCATTTTGAACTGTTTATAAATAGTAATGGGTGGCTGATACACCTATCAGACAGAATTACAAAGCACTAAAATGCTCTACAAATCAAAAGAAGATCAGCTACAGAACCTGACTTCTTTTCCTATCACAGGGACAGATGTGCCAGTAAGCAAGCTGGATGCAGGATGTGGGATGTGCAGGAAGAAGCCCCCAACCCCAGAAGTGCCAGGACATTAAGAAGTGTCCTCTTGCAAGACTTTCTTCACCACCTCTCCTGAAACAAACTCAACAGCAGTTATGTCCACTTCTGACTAACCACAAGAGAGGGTGGAAAATGGTAATTCTTCCATGTAATAATTCTGGGGAGGGAAAGGCCAGAAGGCAGCTGAGGTTTTCAGAGTTAAAATTGCATAATAAACAGTAATGAAGAAAGCAAACCAAAATCTGATTTAACTCAACATGTTAAGTTTAGCTCAACAAGATACAAAACATAGTTTCTTTGATTTTTTTTTTTTTTAATTAGAACTCTATTTAAGTGTTCTGGGAAAACTGAACTTTTAACCAGGAGTTGAAATTACTCTTCCGTGAAAGCATTTAGAACAGTCACAAGTAAATGCTAACTATCTCAATGCATGTAATCCATTTAATTTCAAGCTATGGGGAACTTCAGACAGTCTAATTCTGAGTGCTGCCATGCAATATATCTATAATGTTGCACTTATTCCACTATTTTCACACCTGTCCAATGTATTTGTCTACATCACAGCAATCAAAACATGTAAGAAGAATCACAGAATAAAGAACTAGTAGCATTTTTTATCTTTGGCATGTAAACATCATAACTGACAGGATTTAGAAGGAAATTAATCTCTGAGAAAATGAGAGTCCGATTTTCAATATAAATATTAAAGCACATCTTTAAACAGCTAGTTTACAGGATGTAGCTCTGCTGACACCTATTGATCGACATCAGAGTGACCATAAATGCACATATAAAGAAACTACAGAAAAGCAAAAAGCAACATGCTAATTTGGGAATAACCTCGAGTTCTTTATGACCTATCTCACCATGACTGCCTTCAATATTATGCAGTAATTACGACCTCAAGTATGATTATGTATTTTACCCGTATGACTGAAAAAAAAATCCCTCCAAAAATGTATTTCTGTGTATCTGCAAATTCCTCAAGGAAATTCCACATACATTCTACTAAATCACATTATTGCTTAGAAAAAATGGCAACTGAAAAAAAAAAATCATCGGCTAGTTACACTAACATACCTGGTCACACTCACATACCTTCCTTACTTGCAAAGGCACAGACAGAATTACGGTACCAAAGAATGAAGTCAATCTTGAAAATCTTGTAGATTATTAAAGTAATAAATGTTAAAATTAAGAAAGAGACAAGCCCTCCAGTCAGCGACCTTTGTATATCAGGAACTGCACAAAAATATAGAAAGATAGGCTTATAAGTGTTGAATTCATCCAAATCTAATATTTCGCACAAATGTAATACAAATTTGAGTATAATTTTTTCACTTCCATCTACCTACTACAGTGACTCATTCCCTATGCACAGGTACAGGTACACATATTGCAAACTGTAATCCACCTGTCTTCTGTCAACATGGTATATGAGCATTTGGTATCAAAAGCCCTTCTGGGGAAGTCAAGACAAACACAGACCTCAAAAAATAACAGTATTTCTTACCTCTGTGTTTTAATATAATATAGGATGCAACCTGCCCAAAGGCATTTGAAGCTTGACAGATGAACGGTTGTTCATAATCTTCACTATTCACTTCCGAAATTATTAGTTTCACAGAATGCATAGGGCGTCCATCATAAGAAGTTTCCTCCCTATCCAAAAGGCGACAAATAGAGTAATAAAACCACAGTCTTTTCTGGAATGGCTTCATGACTAACAGCTGCAGTATGACAACAGTTGTTTCCATCTGCAAATGGAAACACTCCAGAATAGATAAGCAATTACATTATATGAAGGAAACCCAAACAACAGTCATGCTTCTTAGTGACATTTAGCATACACATTGGAAAACATCAAGACGTTATGGTATCTGGAACTGTGTTTCCCCAGAGGGATATAAGGTTTCTATAGACTGAAGTACAAAAATATACCTTAGAAAACCTAAGCAAACCCTTGTTACGGGTTTCCCAGCCCCCCTAAGAGTAGGCAGAGAGAGAAATTCCGTAACATGATATGACAAAAGAGGCCCTGGTACAAGGGCGTCATCTTGTGGTAAGCAGTGCTGGGACAGGGAAGACATCAAAAGGTGGCGGCTGACCTGCCGCAGAGAACACTAACTCACAGTGTAATTCCAGCTGCAGGGCACGCAGCCCAAACTTCTGCTTCACCCCACGGATCAGAACAGACTTGTAAGAGCTAAAGCTTCAGGCTGCACCATTAGGAGACACAGATTATCCCCATACGTTGTACAAGGGCACAAAACCACTCATTATGCCCCACATTCAGTTAGTCATGTGTACCATGATGTGTGACTGATGTGCAAACTAAACAACTTTCAACCACCAGCAAGATGAGGAATACCACTACCTTGTTAACAGTAGATCTCAAATGCAAAACAAAAGCTGGAAATGTATCGTATTATATAGATATCATATAACATACCACTTTCTAAGCAAAAAGTTACACTACTTTGAACACTGTAACAAGGAATGAACAAATCAACATCACTAATGCAAATGTCTAATGATTGCAGAGGTGACCATTAAAGTGCTAAGAAGTACAAAAAATAACATTGCTTTTGTGATACCAATTCAGTGACCATGTACCTCTGCATTTTGGCCCAATTGTTTATGGCATTACAATTCTTTATGACAGTACAATACAAAACTTTTGTATAGGGTTTTATCTTGGTGAGCACTCAAAGAATTCAGAATTTTAATTCCCCCTTTTTTTTTTTTAATGATGAGATTTATTTCTCACATCTACATTCTTACTTTGAAGATACCATTCTCATTTCTTCACCCGTTTCTTAGTTGTAGATAGTGCTTGAGAATTTACAAAAATCATCACATTTTTTCTTCAGTACTATCATAGACCAGGGTTAACAAAAAACCTGCAATTTTTCATTCCCAACCTGTCATATCTAAGAAACTTTCAGATTGCCTTCTGCTCCAATTTTAGTTGCTTTTTCAAGTTAGGTCTAATTTCTTCTCTCCTAACTCAATTTAACCTACTTTTCACCCTCACCTTAGTTCCCAGTTGCCCTTCTCATGCTTTAGTCAGTCCAAGTCTGTTTTCCTCCCAAACCCCAACTCATCACTGGAAATCTGTCTCCCTTTTCTCCTCACCCCATTAGGCTTCAGTACAGATGTCCTCAACAAAGTCTTCCATTAGCTCTGCTACATTTCTCTAACTTAAGGCTCTCAAACCCAGAAGTCTCAATTTCTCCTGTAAAGCACAGGTTTGATGTTTGACCTCTTGCAACCTTTCAGAGGCAGGTGTGAAGAGAAAGGAGAACAGAGAAGAAAATGACAGTGTGAAGACTGTGTGCCTGGACATGCTTGATCCAATAGAAAGAGGTCTCTGCCAGGCTGGAGCCTGCTCAGTAGAAACTATGCTGCAATTCTGAGACTGTAAATCTACAAAACACCTTTTCTCAAGGTCAGATATTAAGACAGTTTTTTACAATGACCAAAAAGAGCACAATCCCATGTGAAGTCCCTGCATCTAGAATGTTTCAAGTTTCTACTTCAAAACAGAAAGTGAATTGGAGGATGCAAACATTAAAGTTTTTAAAAAGAAAGTTATTTAAGCACATGAAAACATTGCTAAATATTTTAATGTCAAAGGGAGAAAGTTCCACTTTTGTTGCCAACATCGTATTTTCTAATCTGAAAATATACTTACTCATAGGGACTTGCAAAAATTCTGCTCATATAAAATACATCAATATACACACCGTTGCCTGTCCAAAACACCTCATAACCATCAGCACCTGTTGTATTGCAATCCACTGTAACCTGTGAGCCTATAAAATTGTGTTACAAAGTGAAAAGTTAATTTCCGTCATCTAATTAAAATCTATACAATTCTCTTCACAGACTTCCATACAGATCAGCTAAGGATGGTCCCACACCCTTTCAGAAAAGTTACTCTAACAGAGGGTCTATATAGTCCGTGATCTGCAGGTTCAGAAAAAGAGTGGTAGGATGGAAAAGGCTAAATCCATGAAGGGGCATCACTTTCCCTGCAGATTCAAAGATGGATCTGTTCTTTGAATCTCTTCCAGAGCGACAGAAAGCAACAGATGTGACAAAGAATCACTTGGGTTCCCTATAATTTTCTTCACATCTGAGAAATTTCCCTAGGACTTTGTAAGCAATGTGCCTTGTCTCTTCCCTCTCACCCCCAAACACTCCTCCTTCAGGAGATCAACACAGAGAAACTGAGTTAGTCACTGAACTAATTTTATGACAAAAAAACAAAAACAAGAAAACACTGAATGTGGCACTCCTCAAGTATAAATTTTCACTAGAATACAAAATCATATTTTCTTCTAGAGAAAACTACTTACCAAGTTCCACTTCAATGGAGTTGTTTCTTGGATAAGATATTTCGGGGGGCTTTTTTGGTGGGCTCACTAACCAAAAGAAAGAAAGTGCTTTTCAGAAAACCTGAGGCAGTTGCAGTTTGTCCTATGCTCTATAACCCCAGTACAACCTAAAACCCCCATGTTCTACGGACAAGGTTGTCAAGCAATTTTATAACAGACATCACTTAATACTTAAAGTATTGTATCTCAAGTAGTTATTGCTTCTAACTTGAAGCTAAACTTTTCTTCACCCTACCTCTTCCAAAATGTAGTGCCACAAATCTCCACACAGTCCTTGTGGACTGGCTGTTTCCTGGCATAAAAATCCTGTAATATTGCATGTACAGGTGCTGAGAAGTGTATGGGTAAATATTTACAGTATTACTCCTCTACAGCTTGGGATGATAGCCAGTTGCCCAGCACTCCACAGATACAAACTGGAGCCAAATACTTTCAGAGCGCAGTTCATCTATTTTAGGCTTTTACTATTATAAAGGGAAAATTTAATTTCTGTACTGTAGTTAAAGTACATTCTTCAACACCTTCTTCTTACAATTCTTCCTACTACAAGGAAGTACAACACCAGTGGCTCCTTTTAGATGTTTACATTAGGACTAGATAGATGACATTCTGAAAAGCTTATTTCTCTCTATAGGCTACAAAGGGAGGGTAACCAACAGGTGGAGATCTAGATATCTACATTAGAAATGTCTCAGTATGGCTAAAGAAAACCCAACTTTGAGGGTCCCTCACTGAACACACATACCATTTCCAGCTGTCTCAGGCAGCTGTAGGATGTTTTACAGTATTTCCTATGAGATATTCAAAGTTCAAGGAAGTTTCTCCAAGAGCACAAATTAACAAAAAGAAATCATAAAGCATCTATTTTGAGCCCCCTAGCAAAGCACACAGGATTGCCCCAGATACATCCTTCCCTCCCCCTTCTGAAAACTGTGTCTGCTATATTGTTTGGACTCCAAATCACTCATTTTAGTGTAGATTTGCTTAGCTGGAGTATTTAAAAACAACTGAGCTGCCCTCAGTCATTTACAGCAAAGGAGTGCTATGATTTTGCTTCTGCTGATTAGCGGAAGCTGAAATTACACGAAGAGAGAAGTTCTAGGGAGAGATTTTAAGACCTGGATGATCATTTAATCTGATCTGACCTTATGTTCCTCATACTTTGTTTATCCACATCATATACACATGACATTATATGAATATATCTTCATATCATATATATACACATATACACATATATATACATAAATATGTGTGTGTGTGTGTATATATATATATACACACACAGAGACAAAACAGGCAAGCACAAAAAGAGATCACTAAATAGCAATGCAATCTATTAGTAAACGTAAAAATGTCTTTCATCAGCTGGAATGTAAAAACAGTATTAGTATTTCATACCTTGATATAGCATAGCCTTTTCAGTGATCCATTATCAATCTCAAAATGCTGTGCTAGGAAAGGAGTTTTATAGATTTTGTTGTGCTGGTGGCCCCCCAACATAAATCAGGGTGAACTGAGCTAGATACACAATATCAGAGATCAGCAGTTCTTGTGCTGAGGAGCTTAAAACCAAAAAGAGAAGAGACAAAGGTTTGAAGGAAACAGGTGGGACACACAGTCAAGATATTGCTATAATTTGGGCTGGTTTAGTTTGTTGTTCTTACATCAAGAGGATAATGTAAAAGAAAGATAAGTAAGATGGGCAGGACAGAGTGTGCAGCTACAGCAGAAAGTATTGTGCCTACTAAGTCTTAGAGAACACCTGTTTTAGGTGGTCTGGGCAGCAAAGCTTTGACATAAATGCAACTTTGAACAGGGGAGCATATCTTCAACGTGGTGGCAACAACAGACAAAATATATAAACTCTCAGTCATTATTTCTTTCCCTCATATTTAGGTGAAAACTAGCACCCCTAAGCTTGTCTATCCACAAATTGGGATCTTTTAGATTTAATCTTTAGAAACTTGGACAAATATTTGGTCATCATTAAGAACACAAACACAGTGAGACTACCTACTTACCTTCTACAGTCAGACTGATGTCTCGTGAAATGTTATATTGTTTTCCATTGTAGGTGTATGTTGTTTCACATGTATAGTTTCCTCGATCATGTACAGTCACATTGAAAATTATAAGATCTCTGTTTGTGAAAGTAAACCTTTTCCCTTCCAGCAGCTGACAGTCCTAAACATGTGAAGAGAACTGTTAATTCTTATCACTCTATCATATAGTGATATGAATTCATGTCACTATCATATGGAAACATGGTTTCTCTCTCTTTAATGCAATCTGAACTTTCAATGGACCACAGCATAAGAATGGATGTCTTGCAGAGGCTGAGGAGGAGCGAGGGCAAAACATTTTGGCTCTGAGTTTTTAATTCAAAGACACTACAGTTCATTTCCTATACAAAACACCTTTCAATATTAGAGAAACAAGAAAGTGAAATGCAAGTGTCAGGATTTGTAAAAGTATTCATTAATGATGAATCACTCCATAATTAGGTTTAATTTTTTCAAGTATTTAAATACTCTTAGTACCATATGGACTTCAGGGGCATGAGGCAGGAATGCTGCAGAAGGCACTACATTCTTGTAACAGAAAGAACCTTTAAATAAGCATGAACACGATGAAATAGAATTTATTTAATGGAACAATATTGATCACATAATGGATATGCCATCTCTCACAAATGACATACTAAATCTCTTTCTGCACAAAAGAAATTCACGGCAGTGTGGTTTGCTAGCAGGTTAAAAGATGCCACCTGGTGGATACGTGGATCAACGTCTCTCCTACATCTAAACTGAATTTCTTCAAAAAACCTGTATATACCTTTAAAAGATAAAAAGTCTTCATCTTCTTCCAATATGTTTTTAAAGTTCTTTTCTCCCACTTACAATAACTTTTTAGGTTTTCTTCTACAATTCACAAACATCAGTGATTTAGATTTTAAATAATGGACAGTTACAAGACAGTACAGAACACAGCATTCTCACCTTATACCAACGAACAGGCTGAAAATTCTTCGCATTCCTGAAATGATCCAAGTGTGGACACACAACCTTTGCAGATGATAATGTGAAGATCACCTCCTCCACAGCAAATTTTTCATTTAAGCATAAACCATCAATCCTCTCAAAAACTGTTACTTTTGTAAACATTTTCTTGCAGCTTGTCAAATTCCTGCAATTAATGTAACATAATTAAATAAATCTATTTGAATATCTTCCCACTCAAAAATATATGCAATTCTTTTTGGAGAAGAAAGAGAGGATGAGAAGTTTACAGTTTCTCCAATAGATTTACTTGTGTCGACTAGTAAAAAGAACCCCAAATTAGACTTACTTTTCCCAACCTAAAGTTATTGTGAACACACTCTCCCTTCTTCATCAGTATTTCTCTTACCCCCCAAATTCTACTTGCTTTCTAAAAGTTATTCCCTTCGCAACTCATTTCTATAACAACATAATTTTTTTTTTAACTTTCACCTTATGACACATTCATAATCTCCAGAATCTTCTAGCATTGCAGGAAGAAACCAAATTAAATTCTTCTGCTGATGAATTCTAGAAAGTTTGTCTCTAGGCACAGCTGTCTGGTTACCAACTTTATACCATGTTAAGTTGTAGTCTCCACTTTTCAAGCTCTTTTCCAGTGAACATTTAATAGCAAGAGGCTGCCCGTCAGGCACAAGACTTTGCCTCAACATCACACTATAGGCTTCACATTTCTCTAAAGAAAAGAGATAAACATTAAAAAAAACTTCAAACACTGTAAAAGGATGCATTGAGCTAATTTTTGATAACAAAGTTGTTTACAAAGTTCATTGGAGTTTTCATCTCCATTCTCAAGACATCTATTAAGAACACAATTATAATACTTTATCTTTACAGTTGAGAGTACCACTCAGTGATATACAGATATAGTTATGTCACTGAAATGAAATTATGTTTTTTGAATGCAAAATTTACGCTCAATAGACTCTCTTTGTAACAGACTACCATTTGTAGTTTTAGTTCAGATACAATTTACTAAAGTACTTGTATTTCTCCAGTGTGTTTCATGTGCATGTACACAAACATACACATGCACACACAAATTTCACATTTAACGTCTTTCTTAACTTCACTTAACTGTAGCCAAAGTCTTCAAGACAGACTATGCCTTCCATACCCAAATGTCCTAAGAGGACATTGGAGTTAAAACTGCCGTTCCACAAATATTAAGCTTGCAATGGAAATTTCAACTAATTCTTCATTTTATGAGCATTTAGAGAGGAATTACTACAGGCACTTACCAAATGAGCTCATTTTCTCTCCTCCTGACCTAAGGAGATTCATACAGGAAAAGACCATCACCATGAGACTTTTTAATTTTTTTGTCAGTATGACAAAAAAGGCACCGACTCTGGATACCATGGTCACATCCCTGAGTCAGTATTATATTTATCTAAAATTCCTTTTTTCTTTAGAATATAAGAACAGCCACACAGAGTCATTAAAGTGTCTGTCTAGCCCAAAACCTTGTCTCTGATAACAATCAGTGTCAAGCGTGTAAGAGAGTCGGACACAACATGTAGAGTAATACTTTGCTTTTGACACCTTTCTTTCCTCTTGTGTTCTGCATGAAAAAAAACATTCATTGGCTTTTATCATTTCTTTGGGTATCATGTATTTCTTATTATGAAAAATGGCAAAGCAGACTTTCCCTCATCTGCCTAGTCTACGTTATTGACAATTTTATAGACCTCCATCACATCTTGCCTCAGTCATCTCTTTACCTCAGAGACTTCATTCATTTAATGACTTCTCATATGGAAGCCATCCCATATCACACAACACTGTCACTCATCCCTGTACCTCTTCTGATACAGTCTTTCCGAGATGGAATGACCAGAACTGCAGAGTTCAATTGATGCACATTCACCATGGGGTTATATGAAGTGCTCTGCTTTCCACTCTACCTCTTCCCAAAAATTCTGCTTTTCAGACGACTGCTGATGACAGAGTTAATCCTTCCAGAGAGCATCCAGAGATGTCAAAGCAGCATTTTTACCAAGTGGTTATTAACTAACTTAATGCTTACATCACACACATACAGTATACATGCTTCTGCTATACAAGTATGACCCTTCCATGCCCCTCCACATCCATTTGATTTTACTTATTGACATTCTATCTCTAAACCATTCAATATCCAGACATCCTCTTCATAGTGAGCATTAGTTTTAATTACCAAGATTTTGCATCATCCACAGTTCTCACCACCTCACTACAAATCTTTTCCAAATTACTTAAAAAAATATTTAATTGCTCAGATATCTGTACTGAATGCCCCATAATAACTTCGATGGTTATGAAATACTAGGGCCACAGGAACTGATAACTCTTTTCTGCCACTAAATGCTAATATTCGGAAAGTGTCTTTTTTTTTTTTTTTACAGACTTCTTGCCTCAGTTTCTCTGAAATCCCCCTCTCCCAATGCCTTCTATTGTCTCCATGGAGCAGGAAAGAATTATAAGGTACACATAACTAAAGAGACAATGAAACTCCCTGCTACTGGGGGGAGGGCAACCAAATAATCACCTTTCTATATGAATTCCAAGAAACAGACTATCCAATGGATTTGTGAACCCTGCAGATTGTCCATCCATGGGAAAAAAAAAAAACAAACCAAACCCAAATTATTTCCAACCAAATGGCTTGCTAGAAACTCAAAGAATGGAAATTCATGAAGTTTTTAAGCAGTCTGGCACTGCTGCAAGATGGAATGACAAGATTATGACAGCAACTCATTTGTACCATCTGAAATATTTTAAACATGACCTGGATTGCTGGTTGACAGCTGCAGGGCAGAAACAAGCAGTTACAACTGAGTAGCCTAGCAATTTTACAAAAATCTAAATGTTATTGTCAAATAGCTATATTTTCCAATATGAAAAAAATCCTAGGGACATGTTCCGTAAAGTTAAAACTACAACTCATTTCATCAGTTTATACACCAGAGTCGTGCTGCCATTCAGATGGACCTCAACAGGGTAGAGAAGTGGGCTGACAGGAACCTCGTGAAGTTCAGCAAAGGGAAACGTGAAGTCCTGCATCAGGTGAGGACTGACCCTAGGCACCAGCACATGCTGGAGACCATTCAGCTAGAAAACAGATCTGCAGAGAACACTGGGGTCCTGGTGGAGAACAAACTGACCATGAACCAAAGCGACTAAGGCTCCCTCATGGCAAAGGTGGCTAACGGTGTCCTGGGCTGCATAAGGACCTGCCAACAGGTCAAAGAAGGTGATCCTTCCCCTCTGCTCAGCACTGGTGAGGCCACATCTGGAGTACTGCGGCCAGTTCTGGGCTCTCCAGTGCAAGAGAGACATAGATTTACCGAAGAAAGTCCAGCACAGGGCCACAAAGATGATTAAGGGAGAGGAGCATCTCTCACATGAGGAGAGGCTGCAAGAGCAGAGACTGTCCAGCCTAGAAAAGAGAAGGTTGGGGAGCGTGTGGGTGGATCCCACCAATGTGTATAAACACCTGGCAGGAGGGAATGAAGAACCAAGAGACAGACTTTTGCCAGTATTGCCCACTGACAGGACAAGAGGCAATGAGCACAAACTGAAACACAAAAAATTCCATCTGAATACAAGAAAATACTTTGGTACTGTGAGGGTGATCAAACACTAGAACAAGTTGCCCAGAGATGTCATGGAGTCTCCATTTGTGGAGACATTCAAAATCCAACTGGACACAGTACTGGGCAACCAGCTCTAGCTGACCCTGGCAGGGGGTCAGGGAGGTTGGACTAGATGATCTAAAGAGTTCCCTTCCAACCTAAATGATTCTGTGATAAGGTAGTACATAAAATATCACATATTCCATGTTTCATAGGTTCCTGCTTTTAGGACTGTTCAAAAGAACACATGGGCATGCACACAACTTTTACTTTTACAGTGATTTTCACAGAAAATTAGTATTACTTGTGTGAAAAAGTGAGTTTCAGAACAAGACCTTCCATAGCCACCAATAAACTTACCTGCAATCATTAAAGACAGAAATGCTGTTGTGATATTACATGAAAACAATGTTCTTGCTGTCATGTTTCCCTGCAGAAATGGAAATAAAATCTTCAATTAGTGGTTTCCAATATAGACCTCCACAGTTTAAAGTCAATGTTTGCATTACACAGTTAATACAGGAATTACAGAGTTAATACAGGACATGGGAAATATATTAATTATCTTTGGCTTATTTTGAGCATGTTACCTGCTTGTTTTACCTGACAGCTCCTAATTATCATACCAAAAGAAAAAAATGAGCAAAGATTTCCTATTCAGCCTGTCAAGCACTCAGGATTTTTTTACATCTGTAGCCCACTCCTCCCCGCTTCTTGCTTTCCCAAGCTACAGTCTTAGTCTAACTGTCCTTTAGATGGAATCTTTGCCACCCTCTTCTGTATCATTTCCAGTTATGCCACAGCCTGTCTGAGGTGGGGAGGAGAGAAAAGAACTTGCATACAGTCTTCAAAACATAGGTACACTATGGATTTATAAGCTAAACCAATTATTTTTTTCCTGGGTTTTTCCTAATAATTTCTAACAATCTATTTGTTCTTTGAGTACTACTGAGTATTGACCTGATCTTTCCATGGGCCTATGTAGTAAAATCCCAAGATCTCATCACTGACTGTTAAAAATTAGGTAAACCCAGTCAGCCACTAAGCACATGACATCAGGATTTTGCCCATGTGTTTTCATTTTAGATCTTCTTTACAACAAAACTGCTGTTATTACCCAGTCATTCACTATCATGACATCCTTCTGCCATCTTTACAATCAACACCTCCATGTACTAGCCTGAATAGCTTTGTATTGTTAGCAAATACTGCCACTGCAACAGTTTCTCTCTGTCTAGATCCTTAAATATATATGCTGAGCACAAGAGAGTTGTTGTAACTCCAGTAGTAATCTTCCTCCACCTGCAGAACTGATCATTTATCTTTTACCAATTTATTTATTTATACATGTGAGAATAAATACATTATGGCAGTGTGGCTTCACTGACAGACTTGCCTTTTGGAAATTAAGGGAGACTGTATGAGCCATGTCCCCAATGTGTTAACATAAATGTGTACAATTCTAACACAATTCCAGCATTTGAGAGCCATGACTTCCCTTTACAAAACTCACTGCTGACTCCTTCCCTACATAATTTATTTCATTTCCACTGGTTCCGATCTTTAAATCAGTTTCTACCCAGCTGCCTGCTGCAGATACCAGGCTCACTGGTCTCTACTTTTCTGGCTCTCTTCTGATCACCCGAGGAGGATAAAATAAAAAAAACCCAACATTTATCACTTTTTTTTAGCTGCTTTAAGTGAGACATTTACAACAAAAGAACACAAAAGTGAGTATCAACCAGTCATGGTGCTTTGTTCATTCTGTAACTGCCTTTTGCAGACTTTTCCATTTGAGTTAGATCCTTCCATGGAAGGTTAGCCGTAAGAAAAGCCACTGGCACTGAAATCCATGCTATTCCAAGATGAACACAAATGCAAAAAAAATTTTTCTTGCTATATTTGGATCTTCCCATAGCCCATCCCATAGGGACTTTTTTATACCCGAATGACCTCTTTGCTCTCAGGACTCTACGGTAAGCTTCTTATCCCTAACATGTTTGGAGAAGGATCGAGTAGCTACATGCCTCTGACAGGATGTTCCTTAATTTTGCCTGCCTTACTGCTTTTTTTCTATTGAGCCTACCACAGTTTTTAAAGCACTGTGAAAGGATAAATGCAATTATTCAAACTGAGCAGGAGAACCTCATCCTGTTGTGAAGAATCTTTAGCTGATCACCAATTTCTACAGTAGTCAAAGATGACACTTCTGCCTGCTGTGTTTGCTTTCACCAAACTGACTCAGAAACGTGCCATATATTGAGTCATCCACACTGCTTCTTGCAGTGCCTGCTTTCTTCCTCCTTCCCCTTCTCTATCACCCTCCCTCATTACAAATTTCTGCTCGAATTACTGGGCAGGTCTTTTCATGCCTAGCTGTAAGAAAGAATGAGTCCCCACAAGAATGCCGAGTATAAAAAGAAATACATAAAACTTTAAAATCACTAGACGGGGTTTATGTTTGTTTGAACAAAATCTCTAACTTTTTTCACTGTTGTCATGGACAGTAACTCTTAAAATCTCCAGTTTTAAGTAAGACAAAAATATTATAATGGAAATAATTTAAAGAGAAAATGAGACTGAATAGACTCCACTTATGACCAGGTATTTTATTTATGACTTCTCTGAATCTGTTTTGTCATAAGCTCTGTTCCATTACAGTGTTACCTTACTCTACCATTCTTACACATGGTCTCTCAAGCAGCTTTTGCCCCTATCAGTAGATTCAGTAGATGCAGCAGTAGTATTTTGGCATGTTCTGAAGGAAAGTCTTGCAGAATCCTGCTTCTCTATAAATTCAATGTTCATTCTATTTAAATTTATAACTTCCTCTTTTGCCAACATGGAAGACCCGTAAATATATATAGCCCTGTATAACAGCAGATACAGGAACTGCTCTGAGGAGACTCCTCCTTATCTCTGAATTTTCATGATGAAAAAACTTCCATTTTTATAGAAGGTATATTCAATAGCAAAGCTAGCTTCTGCTCTGTGCATATGCATTCATATAAATTGTGAAGAAAATAACAAACGTATGACTACAAAGTCAAAAGCAAATGTTTTTCCTACCACATTTTGCCACGATAAACAACTAAATTTATCCCTTTTTTCAGCCATTTTGTCCACATCTTCAGCCTGCAATTGACCTGTGGAGCTTTAGCACTCAGGAAATAATTCAGCTGGAGTTAACTTTGCCCCAATTTTCCAGAGGGGAAAAAATTCCAAGTATCTGAGGCCATGTCCATGAAGTTTCATCCTGAAAGGAAATATCTGTATCAATTTAAGATTTAAAAAAAAAAAAAAAAAAATTTAAAAAAAAAAAAAAAAAATGGACAAGCGTCTGAAAAGTCTTCAATGATACACGCACCTGAATTACAATCACGACATCCATTATACCACATAGTAAAGCACAAGTTCTCACTAAATGAATACAGCCTTTTCCTGTGCTCTCTAGTCCTTTCAAAGTTAGCTTATTCAATTAAAAAACCCACAACTAGTCTCATCAGAACTTTGAAGAATCATGGCTTTCACTATTTTTTGCATACTTGTGGCACTTTTTCTTTCAATGTTTTATTCAAAAACATGAACAGAATAAAACATACAACAGTCCTGTTCTCAGAATTGAGAGAACCCACAAACAGCCAGAGTATCACACCACTTCTTTTACGTAAGTCCACGATCAGTGTAAATCATAAAAAAATATATATTCGTACTACCTTAAACGTTTCTATTAACTGCAAGTACGCCATACCTCTTCACGAGAACTTACTCAAGTGTCTTGCTTTTGATCTAGAAAAAAATTATTACAACAAATACATATATTCCTTGGTTGTTGGGGCACACCTAACCGGAGCCGACCTGCCGGGTTACCCCCCCGCGCTGGGATGTAGTTGTGGAACTGAGACTATCTCGGTAGTCGCTTTTCTGTGACTTGTCATCCCTCTCCAGGTATGGCCAGTAAATATTTTTTCAATAGTCTTCATTTAAATTTTTCCGTATTCCCGGAAGCATTCAGGTCAAAGGGCCCGGGGAAGCCCCGCCGCGGGCAGGCGGCCGGCGCTGAGGGCGGGCGGGTTCCCGCAGGACGGGCCAAGGCCGCGGCTGATC